CGCTCAGCAATTGTTCACCCGCACATTGCCAGACAAAAACATTTGTTCGGGAAAATGTTCGGCAATGTGCGCTCAGCAATTGTTCACCCGCACATTGCCAGACAAAAACATTTGTTCGGGAAAATGTTCGGCAATGTGCGCTCAGCAATTGTTCACCCGCACATTGCCAGACAAAAACATTTGTTCGGGAAAATGTTCGGCAATGTGCGCTCAGCAATTGTTCACCCGCACATTGCCAGACAAAAACATTTGTTCGGGAAAATGTTCGGCAATGTGCGCCAGGCTTAACCGACAATTTGTTGTATATATAATATATAGCCCATGTGTATAAAGTTCATAAAGCTCGCACCTTTCTTGTTTCGCATTTTACGAATTTCGGACTACGCACCTCACATTGTTTAACAATCTTAGCAAATTGCAATTTCATAACTTCTGTTAGAGTTATAGATGATTATTTCACCCAATCAATTTGTTGCATCATATTCCGGCCGATCAGATTCCTGCTTACCTGTAACCCTGAAAATCTATCCCTCTAACCTCTCCCAGTTATCCCTAATTCTATCCCTGAATTCCTTCCCCATCCCATCCTACCTTTGTTTCCCTCTACACAGCCGCGGGTCTGCATCGTAGACGGGCGCTGACTTCCCTCACGCGTGCTCTCCCTCAATGCGTTGCAGGGCCAGGAGCCGGACTACACGTGCTACGGCAGCGCGGAGCGCGGGGGCGGCGGTTGCCACGACTACATCTGGTACTCCGGCGACAGCCTGCAGCTTCTCGGCTGCCTGGATACGGTCGCCGCGGCGACAGCCGGCGAGCACGACGTGGCGTCGTCGCGACACCTACCGCTGAAGGCAAAACTCTGCTTCTTGTGAGCGCGTTCTTTTCCCCAGTAGGGGGCGCCGCGTTTTGCGCGAGGAGCCGCGCTCCTAGGGGGCGCTGCGGTCGCGCGAGCGGCGGAGGGCGACGTCGAGTGGCGCGACTTTTGCCGCGGCGCGCGTCGGAAACTCGGGGGAGTCTTCGTCGTCGCGGCGACGGTCCCCTTGCGGTTGCCACGGTAACGGTTTAGTTGACCGAGGCGTCGCCGCACCTTGTATTGTTATTTTTTTTGTCGAATTAACGTTTTACATTGTTTTCTTCACGTAGCCGGAGTAATCTGTCGCCACTGTAGGGATGAGCGAGTTCCCCGGGATGGGAGGGAGGGAGGGGAGAGGCCCCGGGATGGGAGGGAGGGAGGGAAGAGTAGGCAGGATAGGAGGAAGGGGAGAGTTCCCAGGATGGGAGGGAGGGAGGGGAGAGTTCCCAGGATAGGAGGAAGGGAAGAGTTTCCAGGATGGGAGGGAGGGAGGGAAGAGTAGGCAGGATACACTCGCACACATACATTTTACTATCAGAACAAGTATAATGTTTACAGAATAACCTTCCTCTCACTCACCTCTCTCTCTCTCTCTCTTCTCTCCTTCTTCTCTATCTCACTCGTCTCCTCTCACCCACCTCTCTCTCATCTCTCTCTCTCGCACAAATGCTCCTCTCTGTCTCACTCTCTCGCTGCTCTCTCTCTCTCTCGCTCTCTACTCACTCTCTCTTCCTCTCTCGCATACATCTTTCTCTACGTCTCCTCTCTTCCTCTCTCTCGTCTCTCCTCTTCTCATCTCTCACTCTCTCTCATTCTCTCTCTCTGCACTCTCTCCTCTCTCTCATCTCTCTCTTCTCTCTCTCTCTCTCTCTCCCTCTCTCATCTCTCTCAGCTACCTTCCCCCTCTATTCTATCCTCCCGCTTCTCTACTACAAACTACCTGGTATCTAAAAGGCGACACAAACTGCCAGCCCTCCCGTGAATCGCGACGCGCGGACTCGACCATCACATCCTTTCGCTTCGGCAGCGACGCCGAGCGCCGTAATACGATTAAGAGGGACGAGAACTGGCCGATGTGAGTCTGGCAGCTCAGCGGCGCTCTCGATTCGCGGACACGACCACCAACGACGGCCCAGCAGCCGATAACCCGGAGAGTACGGAGTAACGGCCGGAGTGTAACACTCAGCGCTTCACACTGCAATGCTTTCACCGACGCGCCTCACCATCGCGCGAGCGATTGTTTTTCGCGCACGTCAGCGTGTCCGTCCGTCGAAACTTGACGCGAGTGCTCCGCCGGCGCCGGGTAAAAGCCAGATCCCGTCCTTTAAACGCGTACGGAACCCCTCCCTGTCGTGCTCGCATACATCCCTCTGCCTTCACTTTCCGAATCCTTGGGCGAATACTATTTCCCCTTTCACACTCGCTATACACATGTCCATTCGCGGAACTGCTGAATCACCTCCTCGCTCCATACCCGTCAGTCGTGCAACCATCGCTCGTACAGCTACATGCGCTGAGATCTACTACTCCCGCCTCTCATCTCTCCGCTCCTATCCTGAGGCCAACGTCTCAACCCCACTCACTTTCGCTCACACATTATATCCCATGTGAACACTCGTTATTCCTCCTCCTATACTGTCCTCATTCCTTATGGTTAGAACCTCTACACCCATCCTCTTCTCCTCCCATCCTGGAGAACTCTCCCCACCCTCTGTCTTTGTCCTGAGAATCCTGTCATCGCGTCGCCTACTCCTACGCCATCCTGGCTCATCCGGAGAGTCCTCTCCGCTACCATACCTCTCATCTGTGACAGTGAACTCTCGCCTGCATCCCTCTCCTCCCGCATAACTGTCTTCGTCGCTTAGCGAGTACCTACGCTATCACGTCTTTCCCTGCTGCACCCATACTCATCACTGCCTGTGAAGGTCAGATCAACTGCTCCCGCTAATTATCTTTAAACTCATCCTCCCTCCTATCCCTGGGTAAATCTCACTTCATCCCCTTCCTCTATTCTTGGAAACTCTCCCCTCCCTCCCTCCCGGCCGGACCTCTCTCCTCCCTTCCTCCAGCATGGGAAATTCTCCCCTTCCCTCCCTAGTCTATCCCTGCTGAGCGAAAACCATCTGTAATTCACCACGTGACATCATCGTAGAGTACATCCGTAAATCACTAGTAAGTCATACGTAAATCTTGCCCTTCACCTTAACCGTCATTCGCTGTATACCCTTGCGAACTCTGCTCCCCCTTCCTACCCGCCTATCTGGAACTCTTCCTCCCTCCCTCATACTTCCCGCGGTACATCCTGGTAGAAATCATCTCTGCTAGGTCATCCGTGCACCATCGTACACCTGTCATTGTGAATCATTGTAAGTCATCGGTAATCATCGTAGGTCATCCGTGAACCATCGTAAGTCAATCCCTTGAATCATCGTAAGTCATCGTGAATTCATCGTAAGTCATTGCGAAACCATCGGAAGTTCATCGTGAATCATGTCAAGATCATCGCTGTCAGACGTCTGCGCATCAAGGCGACAAAGGTGCGCGTACGTTTTAAACCCGCCTCCC